ACATAAACATTTCTAATATAATATTTAATATAATTACATATTAATATAGTATTTATACACATCTTACCCTAGACAGTAAGCTCCATGAGGGCTTTATTTCTGTTTTGTTCACTATTATTTTTTCAATGCTTGGCCTAATGCCTGGCATGTGATAGATACTTAATAAATATTTGTTGACTATGATGTGATGTGCAGGGTGTTGGGAAGTCCCTTACCCAAGAGTATTTTTTTTTTTTTTAGAGACAGAGTCTTGCTCTGTCACCCAGATTGGAGTGCAGTGGTGCGATCTCGGCTTACTGCAGCCTCCGCCTTCCAGGTTCTAGCAATTCTCCTGCCTCAACCTCCCAGGTAGCTGGGACTCACAGGTGCACGCCACCACCCCTGGCTAATTTTTTATATTTTAGTAGAGACAGGGTTTCACCTTGTTGCTCAAGCTGGTCTCGAATTCGTGGGCTCAGGCAATCCACCTGCCTTGGCCTCCCAAAGTACCCAAGAGTATGTTTTCTAGTAGTCGGGCCACAATACACTTAGCTCTCCTGGTAGTTATTCTTTTGACTGTAGCTATTTAAAGCTCCTGCTCACAGTCCCTACCATGGTTGACAAAACCTTTGATGATCTGACTCTGCCTGTTCCTCAGCTAAAGCAACAATTAATGCCGCTTTGAAACCTCTGCTGATTCCTCCAAGAGGCTTACATTAGACAGCCTGTTCCTGTGCATGTACTGTTGTCAAACCATATTCATTCCTTTATCATTGCCACTCTTATTGTATTATGAATATGCATCCCAGCATCAGATTGTCAACTCCTTTTCTATGGGCAGTGCTAGACACATAGAAAACTCTCAAATGATAGTGAATTCAACAAAGAGTTGTTTCAAAAACATGAAGAGGAGGGCTTCTTTTCATTCCTGTTTATTTATTTTTTTCATTTGTACACTGTGCCCTGTGGGACTTTTACTGTTGCAACCCATACATCCCAGAGGGGGCATCCTTATGCACTTTGTTTCCTTTCAGGCACATTGGTATTACTTTCTCGAACTTTAAAACAATCCTCTTAGGTTTGTGTCCCCATTTATTATCAGTGTAGGGATAAGGGGATGAGGAATGTATAAATTACAAGTATCAGCTTTTATCTAAGTTCCCGTCCCCAGCCCCCCATCTAATCTAGGTTGCAATTCCTAAGGAGTTTTCCAAGCTCAATGTCAGGTTCAGTATCAAAATTATGATCCTGTATCTCTTTCTCAGAGATCCTCTGGACCCCTTCCTTTTTTTTTCTCCTCTGACTCTTGAAGGCAGCCTTCTCAATTTGACTTTGGATTAAGATTCTGACCATTTCTTGCATTTTATGACAAAGATTACTATCCTGTAGGGATAGTGATCGGGTCTTTCATATTGACAAAATGTTTAACACTTACATGAGTACTCAACTCCTGTTAAAAATCAGTTAGTTTCATAGACACATGGAACCATTTTTAGTATTCTTGGAAACATAAAGGAAAAAGAAATATGGTCCCTGTTCTTAAGATTATAATTTATTGGAGAGATGGGATTTATTTCTCCAAAAAGTTTAACAACAATAATAAGTAAGAGTTGTGACAGTGCAGTGCATGATTTAGTGCCATATGAGCAAAGTGTAAGAAATAGGTTGAGTGCAAGAAATAGGGTGAGTGCTGTGGGCTGTAAGGGAGGATTTCAGAGGGAAGTAGAACTTCTGATCCTTGAGAGGTGGCTAGATTAAGAACATTGTAAGTTGGAGAATGTCCTGACCAGCATTAGGAAGTGGAGATTTTTTTTTATATACCAGTGGTATATACCAGTGGTATATAAAAAATAGTAGCAGCCTTGAGAGAGTAAATGAAATATATGAGATAAATTTGTATGAGTAAGTATAGAAAAAGATGAGAGAGTACCAGAGAACTGGAGAGAAAGAGAACCAAGAAAAGGCAGTGTCCTAGAGCCCCAGGAGGTGGGGTTCAAGAAGCAGAGAACAGTTAGCCGGGTTGTCTTCTTCTTGGGGTTAAGAAAATGGGAAGTGATGAAGGGTTATTGGGTTTGGCAGTTTGGGAATCTGTGACTTTTTGAGAATTCAGTTAAGTGGAATAGTTAGGATTCCAGATAATAGTGGGTAGGTTAGTGAAGATAAGTGGAGGAGGAAGTAGATTCTGTGTTACCCAGGAAAAAAGTCCAGGTTTTGGAGCCAGACTATCCTTGGTGTAAATTCCGAGTCTTCTACATTTCGTGCTGAATGGCCTTTGGCATATTATTTTATCTCTCTGAGCCTTAGCTTTTTCTCTTTTTAATAAAATAAGAATAGTGTATCTACCTGGATTGGCTTCTACAAAGTTAGGTAATATAGACAGAGCCTTTAATAAAGCTCCTGGCACATTGTTGACCAGGAGTACTCAGCCTTTTGTTGCCCACACACAACTAACAACATCAAAATATTACTGTTCCTAAAAGTGGCTCACTAGAGTAATGATTGGCAGTAAGATGTTAGTCTTTGATTTAATGTGCCCCTATCATGTCCAGTATGGAAAGTTCAGCTGCTTTAACAAACGTCAGGTAAAGGTACCTAAGCTTTTCTTTTTCCAAATACCAGCCTGCCTGCCTGCCTGCCTGCCTGCCTGCCCGCCTTCCTTCCTTCCTTCCTTCCTCTCTCTCTGTTGCCCAGGCTGGAGTGCAGTGGCACAATCTTGGCTCACTGCAACCTGCACCTCCTGGTTTCAAGTGATTCTCCTGCCTCAGCTTCCCAAGTAGCTGGGATTACAGGCACATGCCACCACGCCTGGCTAATTTTTGTATTTTTAGTAGAGACAGGGTTTTACCATGTTGGCCAGGCTAGTCTCAAACTCGTGACCTCAAGTGATCCACCCACCTTGGGCTCCCAAAGTGCTGGGACTACAGGTGAGAGCCACTGCACCCAGCTGACCCTTTTCTTTTTCTGGAAAATATCTAGTATATATGTCTGAATTTTCCCAATTTGGTATCATTTTACGCTATTTATTAGTGGACTGTTGTTACAGACAGAAAGGAGTTGTTAGGACTCAATTAGATGGATCTCTCTTGTGTTTTCTTTCTACAGTCTGATTGTACTTTAATAGCTAATGCAAGGATCTGAATTCAGGGAATTTAAACTTTTGTGTCCTAGCACACTCGAATTCTCTTGACTTATTCTCTTGCAGTGAGCATTGTGTGCTGACTTGGACAGAAAGAGGAATTTATATTTTCATTCCTCAGAATGTTCAAGTTCTTCTTTGGAGTGAAGTCAAAGGTAATTAAATTTTTCTTTATGTAATTTTTAATCTCATGCTTATGAAAATTAGATTATTGTAGGAGCATTCTCTTGTAATTTAAGAAGTAGAAAAATAGGATTTTTTTTTTTTTTTGAGACAAAGTCTTGCTCTGTCACCCAGCTGGAGCGCACTGGTGCGATCTTGGCTCACAGCAACCTCGGCCTCCTGGGTTCAAGTGATTCTCCTGCCTCAACCTCCTGAATAGCTGGGATTACAGGCATGTACCACCACACCTGGCTAATTTTTCTACTTTTAGTAGAGAAGGAGTTTCGCCATGTTGGCCAGGCTGGTCTCGAACCCCTGACCTCAGGTGATCTGCTGGCCTTGGCCTCCTAAAGTTCTGGGATTACAAGCGTGTATGATTATAGGTGTGAGCTACTGCGTCCAGTCACGTTTCTTTTAAAGATTGACCGTAGATGTTTCCCATTGTAAGGTACTTCCTAAACATGCATTTGTGAATTTGTATTCAGCTATTTATTTTTTCATGAGTAATTTTATTTATTTTTTAATTGACACATAATAATTCTACATATTTACGGGGTACATAGTGATGTTTCAATATATGCAGTGTATAGTGTACCCTGATCAGATCAGGGTGGTTAGCATATCTATCATCTTAGACATTTATTAGCTCTTTGTGTTGGGAACATTCATTATTCTTCTAGCTCTTTGAAAACATATATTGTTATTAACTATAGTCATCCTACAATGCTATGGAACAGTAGAACTTATTCCTTCTATCTAGCTGTGATTTTGTATCCTTTAACAAGTCTTTTCCCTGTCTCCTCCTTCCTCTTACGCTTGCAGAATCTTGTCACCTCTGTTCTGCTTTTCTTCTTCTGTGAGATCACATGTTTTCTAGCTTCTGCATATAAATGAGAACATGTAGTCTTTAACTTTCTGTTCCTGGCTTATTTCACTTAACATGGTGTCCTCCAGTTTTCATGAGTAATTTTAAGTGTAATTTTCATTAGTAACTGCTGAAAAGAAACAAACAGGTTATTTGTCCCTCTATTGCGCTGAGTCTTTGTCCCTGCCAGAAGTCTTGCTTTGGTTCCCATTTTGTATCTTTATAGTTTGGCGTTCAAATTGTTTTTGTGGGAGCAACAGCCATCATATGTGACTGAGACAGAAAATCAGTCTCTACATTCTTTGGGTTAAAACCAGAAGTGGGGGAAATCTAGCTTTTTTACCATTGCTGCTCAGTAGAGACTATATGTTGACTTTTTGGTTCTTTTTCTACTTTTGTAAAAACCAAAAAAGGAGAGAGAGAAAGAAATCATTACTTACTGGTCTCATCAACAGTGATTTTCTTGTGGCTTAAATTTCTTAAGTATGTCCCTTGAAAACTAGTCGTTTAAGTCCTTTCAGGATACTCTGCCGAGACAGATACTTTCTTGAAGGCAGATATTTTCTCATTAACTGTATATTGATTTACATACTGTGTTAAAATCCGTTCATTGAGGACCAGGTTGTAATGCTCAGGGACCTTATAGTGTGGCCTCTAATGTAGATTATCCTCTTTTAATGTCCCAATTCCTTTTCACAGAAAGCAGCATTTTAAAACATAAGACTTTAGGTCAGAGAGAGAAAGTTCTTTCTTCACATCTTTTATTCTTGATCTTTTTAGAATAGTTTCTAAAATATGATTTCTTCATTGAACTGCAAGTACAAAAATAGAGATGAAATTCAGTCAAGCCAAACCCTACATAAGAAATGAATTTATTAGAATAATTTCAACCCTTTTAAAATTGTAAGGGATATTTGGTTAATGTTTTGTATGTTCACACCTGTGGTTTTTGTAGATATTCAGGATGTGGCTGTCTGTAAGAATGAATTGTTCTGCTTGCACCTAAATGGGAAGGTCTCACATCTCTCCCTGATATCCGTGGAGCGCTGTGTGGAACGCCTGCTAAGAAGAGGCCTATGGAACCTGGCTGCTCGCACCTGCTGTCTTTTCCAAAATTCTGTCATTGCCAGCAGAGTGAGTCAGAGCTTACCTAGACATCTTTGCCATGGATTGGTGAAACTATCCTAGCTTGCAAGATTGTGTTACAAAGTTGCTTGACTTTATTAGCCCTGTCTGTATGACCTACAGATACAGCAATACATGCCCAGGGAAAGCATGATAGATATATCTAGGGGTGGATAGAGGGTAAGAAATAGGGTACAATTTTCATTTAAAATATCAAATTTACATACAAATTTATTTGTTTCAGAACTTGTTTTTAAGGGGGATAATTGTGTATATTGTAAATTTTAATTAAATTATTATTATTATTTTGAGACAGAGTCTTGCTCTGTCACCCAGGCTGGAGTGCAGTGGCACAATCTCAGCTCACTGCAACCTCTGCCTCCTGGGTTCAAGCGATTTGCGTGTCTCAGTCTCCTGAGTAGCTGCGACTACAGGCACTCGCCACCACACCTAGCTGATTTTTTTTTTGTATTTTTAGTAGAGACGGGGTTTTACCATGTTGGCCAGGCTGGTCTCGAACTCCTGACCTCAAGTGATCCGCCTACCTTGGCCTCCCAAAGTGTGGAATTACAGGTGTCAGCCACTGCACATGGCCTTAAATTCTTAATTCCTAAGAAAATTCTCATGAAATCTTTCTCTAGCTTGCTAAGCCTTTTTAAAGCACCATTGAAGTTTTATGTTCTGTATTAGACCTCTTTCTTTCTTTCATTTTTCTTTTTTCTTTTTTTTTTTTTTTT